GATATAACAGGTACAAGCCAAACTGCCATTTCCTTGTATCACCACGCAGCTGTCTGGGCTTGTGGCGGGCACCTTGACAATGTTCAGTCAGGAGGATCAAAAGCTGAAGTAAAGAAAACAAGTAATGTATGGTCTCATACATGCCCATTCATGCCAAGAATATTCTAATCCATATAATTTGTTGCTTATATTATGGTTGCTATCTATATTCACATTAGGTGAGGTAGTATTTTATGGATATTTACTGTGTTGAACATTCTTAGGTGCCACAGAGATTTCAGAGATGTGTGAGGCATGCTTTTAGAGCTTATAGTTAGACAAGGGAATAGACTATGTACGCAAGAGCACAAAAAGAAGGCAGTAAAATGAGAACTTTGTGAAAGACTAAAGCACAATCTGAGTTCACTTCTTGAGCTAGTTTTAGAGGAAGGGTAAGATTTCAATTAGTAGAAAAAAAGGGGGAGGAGGGAATGCCATAAAAAGGAAAACTATGAACAAATGTGGGAGGTTGAAAGGATCTTTGAAGAACAGTGAGACTACCAGTTTGACTAGGACAGGGAAATTCTATGGAAATAAAAGAGGTCTTTGGGTTTGATTTTGGAGACAATATACAGCTGCTGAAGATTTTTAAGGCTGAGAGTGAAATAACAAAAACTGTATTTTAGGAAGATTAATCTGGCAATGATAGAATTGATAAGAAAGGGATGGTACGCAGGTAGGTCGGATAGAAAATTACTGTAATAATTCCAGGTTCCTCAGCCAGGTACACCTTACGTGTATAAATCAATGTCAGCTAAAGTTACTAAACTTTATAAATGTACCTTAAATATAGTATAGAATTTCTACAGTGAAACTAGAAAACTTGGGTTTACACACAATTTTTTTGCTTTTCCTTCCTATTTTCACCTTAGGTAACAACTTCTGGCTCAGAATTTTCATTTCACTTTTCCTCACCTAATATTTGCATTAATAAGAATCATCATCTTTCTTTATATAGTAGCAAAATCCACAACATTGTATGTTTTTGCTTCATCGGAAGAGCATTTAAAGCAATTTTTAAAACCCAACTTTGTTAAAACAACTGCTTTACATCACACAAAATAAGTTTCCCCCAAATTTCATATTTTATTTTCCAAGAAAGAGTACTTTCTTTCTTGCAGGCAGATTAGGCCTACAAATCCAAAACAAAATGATAGGTAATTATCTAGTGACTCTGTAATAGTTACTTTATAGAAAGTTTTTAACAGATTGGCTGCCCTAAGTCTCATGAAAGCAGAAACTATGATAATTGCTTTCTTTACTTTGTATGTATAAAGTAAACCACACATGAATGTCCCTCTTCTAGAAAAAGGACTGAACCAGGAAAGTTTTCAACATTTTCCAGATTATGGTAGTCCTATTTTATTTGATTTCCCAAAAGAAGAGATTTAATTGCAAAGCATTAAGTTTCACTTAATTTTTTTTTAATTTTAAAAAGGTAATTTAGATTGCTGAAAGTCTTATTACATATGCCTTACAGAATAGTATACCTGATTTTTAATAAATCAGACTTTTGAAAAGGTACAGAGCCAATAGATTCTAATTTGGAAAAAAAAATAGAGAAAAATTAATTCCATTTGAGCCACCTAAAGAATTGCACATGTTTAGGGACCTAGGATTAAGCAGAGGATGGTGTCCCAGTATGTAAGAGAGCTGTAGTGTCTCTTGCTTCCATGACTTTGCGTTTGTGTAAAAAAGTTGCTGCTTAGTGACCGGTGGAACCTCTCAAACGGTAAGTTCAGCTTCCTATGAGAGAAGCACTGAGCCAGGAACAGTGGACTGGCTCAGCCCTGTCAGACAACAGCCCTCAGTCTAACATAGCCCAGGAACAGAGGTTTGTGACCTGATACTCAGGAAGGAAAGGATGCAAAGGAGGCAGAAGGTGGGAGAAGAGGGGAGGGGGAAGAACAGAATTAACCAAGATACTCAAAGAGAGAAATGCTTTACCTGGAGATTCTCAGCCAGAGATGGAATTTTTTTTAATTTAAGGTAAACAAGCATACTGGTTTAAAATGGTCTGAAGGAGCCCAATTGGTATGAACAAATTTGGTTAGTAGCTTTATAACGACATTGGGTGGGCAAGACTACCTTTTATATATTAACATTTAGAAAACGTAGTTTATTCAATAAATTTGTTGAAAGATGTCATGTTTCCTAAAAACTGTACCTAATTTTAGGGTTCCTGCTTACAGTGATTCCAATTCTGCATGAGATTTTAAATTGGAGGGGGAATGGGAGGGTGCAGAACACAGATGAAATTTTACAGCATGGAAATAAAAGTATTTTTAAACCTTCTTGGGGGTGAAGAGTTAGGCAAGAAGTAATACGTGGAAACTGTCAAGTGCTTCTCTACACACCCACCCACCAGATACCATCGCAGCCGGCTGGGGGAGTCTCCCTCTTCTTGCCTGACAGCTTCACTTTCTTTGAGGTCTGGAGCTGGTGATCACACTGGCCCGTCATGGTATTTTCAGTTAACAAAGCAGTTACTCAACAGGGGAAAAAGCCACAAAGGAGCAGAGCAGCTGCTGCTGCACCCGTGATGCAAGTGCAGGATGAGCCCCGGGCCGCCACCGCCGCCTCGGCTCCTCCGTGACGTCCGGGAGGGGTATCCCCGGCTCTCAGGAAGTGGTGGCCGCGGGCAGCTCCGCCCCCACGCGACTCAGGGCTGGCCGTGCTGCCGGGTGGCAAGACGGCTGGGCCTGCGGCCGGGCGGGCGGGGATCACCGTCCCTCCGCCCCCTACACACAAACATACACACACAGGCGAGGGCCGCGCGCCCCGCTCGGTCGCCCGCGCCACTGCTCAGCGCGGACTCCGCGCCCGCACCTCGCCTTACGCACTCCTCACAGCGCGCACGGGACGGAGAGCCGCCCGCGCCCCCCTCTCTCCCAGGGCTCACTTCCACTCACCCCAACCTCAGGCACCGAGCCTGGCCCAGCGTCCCGGGTCACCAGACAGGGTCGAGCCGAGTCCAAGATGGCGACTCCGCCCCTGCCCCCTTCGCACTCCCGGCGGGGTCAGGGCGCCCCCTCACGCGGCACGCTCGCGCCCGAGGCCCCGCTAAAAATAGCCAGGCCCGACTATATTTGGTTCGGCCGGATCCCGGCGCGGCCGCGCGCGCCCCGCCCCGCCCCGCCCCGCCCCGCCCCGTGCGCCCTGCCCCGCCCCGCCCCGCCCTGCGCGGGGCTGAATGGAGAAGGGGCGGGGGTGACCGAGGGGAACCTACTCCTCTATCTGCGGCGCGCGCCGGCGGCGGGGCCGGGCCAACCGCCGAATTTAGTAACATCGCCTGCGTCAATCACGCGCCTAGCGTGCGTCAGCGCCGCGCGGCTCCAGGTCCTGCTCCCCCCTCCAGCCTTTGAATGGATACAATGTAGCAGCGCCCTCCTTCCTTCCGAGACTGGATTGGAACCCGCGGCAGGGCTGAAGCTCGGTTCCTCTCTTCGCTGGGTCCACTTTCAGAGCCTCCTCCCACGGTCTTCTCCACATCACCCTGTCTGAAGTGGAAGTGGAGACGAAGAAAGATATACATGCCGTATATATCTATACGTAGTCTTGTTTTCAAGTTTCTAGACCTAGCTCGAACCTTCTGCTATTCTGAAACGTCTACACTTCTATGCTCTCTACAATGGAATCCTTTCTTCCCTCTCCTTACCCCTCACGCAGATTAGAACAAATCAAATAAATTAAAAAATCACATCTGATTCAAACGGACTACGGGGGGACCACGTCTGTCTACATTGTTTCACTCATATGGTTTCTCCTCAAAAATTCATTGCTGGAAGAGATTACTTTCATTCAGCAGCAACCTTTGGAACTAGGAGTCTTTAACTCTGATAAATTTTTGTTTTTGTTTTCAGCAAGATATTTACACCTAAATTTATCATTTCCAGGAAGAAATTGCTCTCTCATACATGCAGTCGCCCAGGCTTTCAGCACACCATTTCATGACAAATGTGTCCCGGGAGACCAGAGCAAATCCCCTAGCGAGGGACTGACTAATAAATCCTGTTGATTGATTTCGAAATGTTTAATTTGGGTGATGAGAGGGGCCCAAACTACAATCATCAAAAAGTGAAAATGCGAGTTGAGAGTTCCATTTCTGACCGGGTGCTGGGGAGGAAGGATGATTTGCAGCAGTCAGACCCTCTCAGCTGTTCAACACGTGTGCGTTTGTTTTATACACATTAAGCAGTTTCTGCTGCAGCGCGCGTATGGATGATGGATGTGCACTTCGTTGGGTTATAATGTGTCCAGTTAGGAAACCCACACCGTAAGTGTAAAGAAATAAAACCCGTAGCCATCTGCATCCGTGTGCGAAACACGCACCCAGTAAATGATTGGGGGGGAGCGTGAGAGAAATTAGACTGGGCGCAGAGGACCCAAGAGAAGTAAACAGCTTTACATAGCAGAGGGAAAGCGCAGCTGCACCTCAGGCAGTCTTCGGACTGGTGCCAGACTCCTTTTGCACCGCCTGCCAGGTCACTCGGAGAAGCTGGCTGGCGGAGCCTTCCCTTTCGGAAGAGCTGTCCTCTCTCTTACCCCCTCTCCCTGGCTCCGTGCCTCGGGGCAGCCTCGGAGGCACGCCAGCAGCACTCCTCCAACTCTACTCCACCCGAGCCTGACAGCTGGGCGGTCCCGCCTGACCCGCGGGAGGTTGCTGCACCCTCCCACAGACCAGCGCCCTGGCTAGCAGCGCTGCTGCAAAGGCGTTGGCAGGCAGGGGTCCGAGAGGCCCGCGGGCTGGGGCGGGCGGTGCGGCGTAGTTTCCATTGTGCGGCCGTGCGAATGGCTGGGGAGCGCGCGCGCGCACGCACGAGCACACACACCCTCCCTCGCACACGCGGAACCGGCTGGGCCAGGGGAGGGAGGAGGAGGGTGACGTAGCGTCCCATGGCGTCACATTGACGTCTCGCATTCCAGGCACTCTATGGAGAGGCCGCTAGGGCTCCTGTGGCATAAATGACGTGCCGAGAGAGCAAGCGAACGCGCAGCCGGGAGAGCGGAGTCTCCTGCCTCCCGCCCCCCACCCCTCCAGCTCCTGCTCCTCCTCCGCTCCCCATACACAGACGCGCTCACACCCGCTCCCTCACTCGCACACACAGACACACGCGCGCACACACGCTCCACACACACACTCCACTCTCTCCCGCGCGCTCACACCCCTCTTGCCCTGCGCCCTCGCCGGTGCAGCGCGACGCCGCAGCCGGACGCCCCTGCCGGGCTCACTTTGCAACACTGACGGCGCCGGCGGTGGCCCTGGAGGTGGGAACGGCGGCGGCATCCTCCCCCCTGGTCGCATTCCGAGCCAGGACGCCTGCGGAACCTCTCAGCGGCGCTCTCCCATGAGTCGGGATCGCAGCATCCCCCACCAGCCGCTCACCGCCTCTGGGAGCCGCTGGGCTTGTACACCGCAGCCCTTCCGGGACAGCAGCTGTGACTCCCCCCCAGTGCAGATTTCGGGACAGCTCTCTAGAAACTCGCTCTAAAGACGGAACCGCCACAGCACTCAAGTACGTATGAGATTCGCCCAGTTAATAAGGGGACTTGCTAAAAAGTTGGCTTGCTGGGAAGCGTCGCTCCTGCAATTGACAACTTTGAGTGTGGGGTTCCCTCCCCCCCACCTCGCCTCCCAGCTCCGGCTTTGCTTGCGGAGCAGCCGCTAGGTTCTGAGCTGAAACTTTTCCCCTGTAGCTGGCCCGCGGGGATCTCTGGAGCTCGTGGGATTCCTCCCCCCACTGGAAGAGGCGAAAAGCCTCTAACAAAGAGGAGGACCGGGATTTGTGCTGTAGCGGCTCCAGCGATGTAATTCAGGGTATTTCGGCTCTAGTTGTCATGGTAATGATGCTCTCGGCGGCGGCGGCGGCGGCGGCGGCAACGGCAGGGAGTTGCAGCTCCGGTGATGAACGGCAGTAATTTTCCTGCCTTTTAAGTAGGACTGAAAATAGGGGCTCTGGTGGGTCCAAGTGAATGTACCTAATGGTGGCACCGAGCTGGTTCTCTGGAAGGAAGCTCGGGAGGGAAGGGGCCTGGGCAGTGGCCGCCGGAGTTTGCACAGGCACTCGGAGGACCTCAGGAAAGAGAGCGTAATTGTAGGAATGTGGCTTATTGTATTGAAATGAGCCTGGGGCTCCACTAGGCACGTCTGCCTGGCGTCGCCGACTTGCCGGCTTACGCTTTTCCCTTCGGAGGTAAATCGGGTGTAATTGCCGACTCCCGCGCCCCGACACGCGTGGGGACGGTGTCCCTCTCCTCCAGACCTTGGCTCGGTGTGGGAAAGGCACGGTTTACTTCTTACTGACAGAACTCGCGCTTTTGGAGAAGTTGCTCCGACTGTTTTACTCTCAGTAGAAATGAAAGTTCTCGGTCGTGAGAGGAGAGCGGTCAAGCGAGCGGAGATTGACTTCCGAGGGCACCTCTCGAACCTGTTGGAAGCTTCGGGGCAGTCGTGAGGGAGAAAGCATTTGTCGCTTGATTTCCGAGAACGTTCTTGGAGATTGCCTTTTATTTGTGCCTCCAGATTCTCCAGAGGGAAATGCTGCAAGGACTTTAGTAATCAGAAATCTCGGGCTGTTATCCCAGGGCCTTAGAGTGCCGGGAGAGAGGTACAGGGCGCCGTTTAGTCATTCCATCGTCAATCTAATCCTGGATCTCCTTTTCCCACGACGAGGAAACGTTTTTTAGAACCGAGTTAGGGAAAGAAAAGGGCTGCCCAACGCGGCTCCTGGGCACAATGAATGAAGTGACTTTATTCGAGTAATTTCCTTGAACAAGATGCTTGCAATGTGACTATCAAAGACTCCTTAGGCCACAGCAACCTCCACACCCGCTCCCTCCCCTGCGCCCACCGCCCCCTTCCTGGGACCGTGCGCTCGCAGAAATTCTCCCCCGCGGTTTGTCTAGTCTTCTTCGGTCTTTCTGAGAACGTCTGTCTTTCCCTTTCTGTCGGTCTCTCCTCCACTCCTCCTGCCCCCACCCAACCTCCGCCTCCGCTCCCCAGGGTTGGAAACTCCGCGGAGGTCACAATGGTGCGTTTCACGGTTTCCTCCACACACTTCACCACGGGGAGGGGAACACGGGGGTGTTCCTTTCGACTGCCCACGAGAAAGAAAGGAGCTTTGACAGAGGTAGTTATTTCTTCCTAATTTACAACCCCAAGTCTCTGTGCTCCCGGCCCGGCGGCCGCGAGCGGGAGCGGCCGAACGTGTTTCCAGGCGCGGAGGCTTTGCCTAGGTAACCGGCCCTTTGAGGGGCGGAGAGAGCGGTGGGGCGCTCGGCTGGGCTGTAGCAAAGGCTGCGTGGCTCTCTCCCGCGAACGCTGGGCGCTCGAGGGGAACCCTTTCCTTGGGAAGATGTGGTCCCCGCCCACCCGAGTTCAGAGGCCGCCCCTCGGAGAAAGATTCCGCTTGAAAGGACCCTGGAGAGGAATGGGAATGAGGGCACCCACTGGAGGGGGCGTGCTGGAGACCCCCATTGAGGACGCGGGGGGACGGGAAGCACATGCCACAGCCGTGGGAAGATCCGCTTGTGCCCGCGCTACCGTGAGCGCATGCTTTCCGTCGGAGCAGCTCGGGCTGGAGCTGGGAGTGGCAAGGGAATCCCCCATTTGCTGGCTGTCGAGGGTTCCCGGACCTGGGGGCTCCGAGTCCCTTTCTCTCTTCCTGCAGGCAAGCCCGGCGCGCAGGGGCGCCAGGAAACGACCCCCGCGGTCTGCGCACCCGAGAGGTTTTTTGTTTGGTTTGGTTTGGGGTTTTTTCGGTCCCCGTTCCCACCCTTCGACCTGTGCCCACCCTGGGCAAAGGGGGCGCTATAGGCCGGAGTTTGGGGCTGCCAGATCCGTCCCTTACGCCCGAGGAGCGGCGCTTTCAGCTACAAAGTTTCGCTAGGGCTGTGCGCTGAGACATTCGCCCCGGAGCTGCATTCGGCGCCCTCCGGAATGTGCCCTCTCCGGGGCGCAGGGTGGCCAGAAGCCTCGAGGTGGCCCACCCTCGGCGACACTGCCCGCTGGGTGCGGAGGACCTGCGTCCGCCGGGCCCACCAGCCGCGAACTCTGCCTGCCTGCTTGTCTTGCTTCCAGCGCCGTCCCTTCCACTGTGCCCTTTTGTTTGCTCGACCCCTGGCCCCCGAAACTCACGGCTAATAGAAGCGAAGGTCCATTAGCATTTAGAATGAAAAGCGCAGACTTTCTTAATTCCTCGGGGCATTCATGCATTCGTTCCGGACCTCGTGCATTTCCTATGCAACATGTTAAATTTGTATTTGAGGAGTGGGGGCGGGCAGAGTTGGAAAATGGCTATTTTCCGCTCGTGCACGCTCACTGACCCCCAGATTCGGGCGGAACTCGTTCAAGTGTTCTTCTTTCTTCGGTCTTCCTGACTTCCCGAGCTCGGAACCAGTTCTTGGGGCAGAGAGATCAATTTCGGGGAGACGACCGACTACGCGCTTTTTAGCCTCGGTTCGGGTGCCACAAAACCGCGGTGGGTGCAGACAACCTTCCCTCGGTTTCTCCAAGGCCGTGAGATGCTTCTTGCCCGGGGGACTCCGGTACCCTTAAGCATCCTTACCCTTAAGTCTTTGTAATTAACATAGCATTTCTAGAGGCTTCCCACGAACGCCGCCCCCGTCAACACACACACAGACACACACACAGCCCAGGCTGCAGTAACCCAGCCTGGTCCTGCTGTGACCTCTGTCCTCTCTGCCCGTGCCTGCAGAGCCCACTGCGGAAGAGCGCAGCCCGGCAAGCCCGGGTCCTGAGCCTGGACCCTCCGCGGAGCCGGGCAGCGCGGCCGCCGCTTCGCCTCGCCGGACACCCCCGCCTCCTACACTCTCAGCCTGCGCTGGAGAGACCCCCAGCCCCACCATTCAGCGCGCAAGATACCCTCCAGGTAGGTTTGAAGGCACCATCTCTTCTGTCCCCCCCCCAACCCCCCCTCCCCGGGCTGGGAGAAGTGGGTAGGGGAACCACACACCCAACGGGCAGCCTGGTGGACTTCCCAGTGCCAGGACAGTGACTGCTGGCCACGAATTTCGCAGCACAGGTGGCTTCCTCGAACGAAGCTCCTCTGTATACCACACCCTGTTGCTACTGAGTGGAGCAGCCAAATTAAATTAAGCACTACACTTCTCAAAATTATTTTTCCTAAGAAAAATGCAAATACACCAATACGTTTATACATTTTAATGTCTTCACTTTTGCTGCCCTTTTATATCCAATGAATGCGTTTAAGAGTTATGGAATCACTTAGAGCAACACTGAGCATTTTTGTTTGTATAAAACCAAAATCATTTGGGTGCAGAAGTTTGGATGATTGCACCTCAGAGGGAAAGAGAAAGCATTTGAGCTGAAAACCAAGGAGTAAATTTGAGTTTGGCAAAAGTGGATTGTAGGTTTGGTTTGTACCACCTCTTTACGAATTTGCTAAAGGAATAATAGGTGCCAGGCCTGAGTAGGCACCAGAGATAGCATAGAATAATAGAATACAGCCCCAGCAATCTCGTCTTCTAGCTGGAAACCTCAGAAAGACACAAAGGAGCAATAGGTAGGGATTGGCAGGGAACAATGACAGAAAAGACTAAGGGAGAAATCCTAGAGGTGCTGAAGGGAGGAGAATAGATGAGAGATCAGGCAGTGTTCTTTCTTTTAAATGATTGTCATTCATTTCATCCCAACCACTAGACAGCAAGATAAGTAAATCTTTAACTTCCAACTATTGAGTGTGTTTTTAAGGCCCTACTTGGGGAAACAAAAAGGTTTGAACTGGCCTCTCCTCCTCACTGCTTCTTCTAACAGGCCCTCATCGCCCTTTTTCAAGTCAAGATTTCATCCCATACACGCATGACTCAATCAGATTTGGAAATGTGGGTAAGAGAAAGATGTCAAAGGAAATGTGAAATACTCACGTCTCTATTAGTCACACCTTTTACACCATAGAATCCAAATAGGCGTTAAACACCTGCTTTTCCTTTGGCTCAGAAAAACTAACCACCAGAAACTGTCCGTTTTACCCTTTATATTTAGCCATAAAGAAAGGAAAATAATTAGATAAATCATCTACTACATTTAATAATTCCCAGGGCTTTCTAACCCAGTTCAACCTCTCCGAACAGTTGTTAGCACCCTGGATACTAGTTGCTTTGGGGGCTCAACATAGTTAAACTGGCAGAGAAACTAAGTCTATTCAGAAACTTCTTTCTCCTTTTCCAGGGGTACTAATTCTTCTGTCATAAGAAAATACCTAGAGTAACTTGCCTATTATGATAGCTATAAACTGTTGTCATAAAACAGCCACTGATATATTTTATTAGTCAGCATTGAGAAATATATATTAATATATATACATATATATGTATGTATTATAGCAAAGAGCAGGTTTCGTGGGTGTTTTGTTGCAGCTGCTGATCTTTCTCTTTGCAGATGGTGCAAACTCCCCCAGTCCATTTCCTGGGCCTACGTCCCCATCTCACCACCTAGCTGGCTGAAGTCATCAACAGGGGTCCACTTTGTGCAGGCTGCTAGCCCTGTTTGGAGGAGTGGGGAGGGGGTGGGAGAAAGCGACCACAACACGTGTGGGCAGCCTCAGTTGGCACTCATAAAATGTTAGAATGTCACTGTCTCCCTTGGCCAGTAAGTCTCTCATAGGATGCCTTTTTTGACTAACTCATAGGTTTACAAATCAGTGTGTGTGGCTTGGGAGACCAATGACCTCTTTCCCTCCAGAATAAACCAACTGGCTTTCTCTTTGTCCTCCCAGGTTGTGGCTGAGGAGGCCACTCCAATCAGTTTATAGGACTCAAAGCCACTTTTTAAAAACATCTCTGGGCTTATGGTGAAAGACATCAAGTTTCCCAGATCTGGTGCAGGACAGAGAAGGAGAGAAGATGGGTACAGAGGTCCCCGGGAGGCCAGAGTTTTGGCATCCTGTGGCCCCTTTTTGTCTGTCAGGGATTCAGCTTTCTTCCTGGGGAGGAAGAAAGTCAGTGTGGGGGACTCTGTCTATCTACGAGAAGGAGAAGAGGATGTCATTTCCTCTCTATTTCCCAGATTAGGGAGCAATGCATCCAGTGGGGTCTGTTAGCTAGGAAACGAGTGTTGACTTGCTTCTGACATACCCTTTTCCCTGTCCCTGCAGATATGCCCTGCGTGCAAGCCCAATATAGCCCTTCGCCTCCAGGTTCCAGTTATGCAGCACAGACATACGGCTCGGAATACACCACGGAGATCATGAACCCCCCAGACTACACCAAGCTGACCATGGACCTTGGCAGCACCGAGATCACTGCCACAGCCACTACGTCTCTGCCCAGCTTCAGTACCTTCATGGAGGGCTACTCGAGCAGCTACGAACTCAAGCCCTCCTGCCTGTACCAAATGCAGCCATCCGGGCCGCGGCCCTTGATCAAGATGGAGGAGGGGCGTGCTCACGGCTACCACCACCATCACCACCACCACCACCACCACCACCACCACCACCAGCAGCAGCAGCAGCAGCAGCAACCGTCCATCCCTACCCGCTCCGGCCCGGAAGACGAGGTGCTGCCCAGCACCTCCATGTACTTCAAGCAGTCCCCGCCGTCCACGCCCACCACGCCAGGCTTCCCCCCGCAGGCGGGGGCGCTGTGGGACGACGCGCTGCCCTCGGCGCCCGGCTGCATCGCGCCCGGCCCGCTGCTGGACCCGCCGATGAAGGCGGTGCCCACGGTGGCCGGCACGCGCTTCCCGGTCTTCCACTTCAAGCCCTCGCCGCCGCACCCGCCCGCGCCTAGCCCGGCCGGCGGCCACCACCTCGGCTACGACCCGACGGCCGCCGCCGCGCTCAGCCTGCCGCTGGGAGCCGCCGCCGCCGCCGCGGGGAGCCAGGCTGCTGCGCTTGAGGGCCACCCATACGGGCTGCCGCTGGCCAAGAGGGCGGCCGCGCTGGCCTTCCCGCCGCTCGGCCTCACGGCCTCCCCTACTGCGTCCAGCCTGCTGGGTGAGAGCCCCAGCTTGCCGTCGCCGCCCAACAGGAGCTCATCGTCCGGAGAGGGCACGTGCGCCGTGTGCGGGGACAACGCCGCCTGCCAACACTATGGCGTGCGCACCTGCGAGGGCTGCAAGGGCTTCTTCAAGGTGAGCACACGCCCGCCTCCTCCTGGCTCCCCTCTCTCCTCCCCAGGCAGCCCCCTCGCTTTAGGGAGCTTCTGGGTGGGTGTAGGGGCGATCCTTGTCCTTCCTGGTTTGAGAGGTGTAATCATTACACTATGCGTTCCTATACCCTCTCCTAGCACCCTCACACCCATAATCTCCAGAGCTTTTCACTTGAGATTCATGTACAGGAGGTGACCCCAGATGGACTTGAGGGGTCTGGGAACCTCCCGACCTGTCATTGTCTTATGAGCATTTTTCTGGAGAGCTTTCAGCAGATTCTCAAAAGGATCTCTGACTTCAAAAATGCAAGCACCTCATTGCATTCCTTGTATGTCCAGCCACGGTGTCTGAAGGGATAAGGTCTGCATGTCAGGTCCTGGACATTTGTGTCTCATTTAACCTTTACAGTAAGAGCTGGAACTCTAGAATCAGACCTGAGATTGAATTCTGTCCAGTCAGTGTCTTAAAGGTAGATATTATTTATCCTTGTTTGTAGATGAGGACATTGAGGCTTGGAGAGGTTATTCTGTTGCCCTAGGACACACACTCGTGGAGTGAGATGGAGGCAGGGTGCCAACTCCTGTTTGTGTGACCCCAAATTGCACACCCGTTTCATAACTCTGCAGCATTGGAATAAACAGGGGCAACTGACTCGATGCAGTTTAGGGCAGTTCCCTCCATAGAAGATAGAAGTTGGGGTCTTGCCAATCCACTCTATCCTCTAGGCACACTTCCCTACCTCTGTACCACACACAGTGCCAGGTGTAGACATCACTTTTTGTCTCATAGGTATAAAGGAGAATTTTACAGTGGGAGGGCCATCAGTCTCCCCCATATTTTACCCATGAGGAAGCTGAAGCCTAGACAAGTGGAGTCTTGTGCAGGCTGTAAGCAGTGATTTAGCTGCACAGGGGTGCAGCTGGTTTCTCCTGACTCCTGAGTTCAGTGTTCTTTCCACCACTGGGGGAGGGGAAAAGCCTTGCTCTCTTGCTGCTCCTCCTTTTGCTATTGACTCCCAGACTTCTCCAGACACTTACTTCTGTACCATCCTCCTCATTCCCCACCCCCTTGGCCATTACTTCAGGCATTTGCAAAGCCACACAAGTCACTCCTTATCCTCCAGTGCTGGGCAGGATAGAGGGAGAGGGCAAGCGGGATGCTGATTGGGTAACTAGGTTTTGGGAGGCCAATAGGATGTATCTGGGAACATGCTGGAATTGGAGTAAGAAGACTCCAACAGGAGACCTTGATCTGTCACCTACCCATTGTATGATGTTGGGCATGACAATTCTTTCTAGGCCTCAGTTTCCCTATCAGTGAATAAAAGGGCTGTGTATTAAATGAGATAAAAACATATATAAAGCATTTTATAATCTTTAAAGGGCCATAAAAATAATACTTCGTTATTAAATGAAACTACAGAGTATTTGTAAAAAGGTACATATTTGTGGATGGGTATACATAGTAACAAGCAACAGTTATTTTTGATCTACTGATAGTAATCGTGTCATTAATTGAAATCTACAGATAAATGAGAAAATGCTTATGGAAAGACTTTGCAATATGTTAAGTGCCCTACAGGTATGCAGGGTTATGATGTTTTAAATGCAGAATGTTAGCCTTTTTTTTTTTTAGCCATTGAGTTTAGCCATTTTTTTTTCTGTCTTTACTCGAGCTTTACCAGGGCTACTTTCAAGTAACTGCATTCTTTTAGCAGATTTGATTTTTATAGGATTTCAGTGGAAATGCTGAAGGGCAGTGAAACTGGCAGCAGAAAGAGGGAAAAGAAAGAAAAACAATTAAGAGAATTATGAATAATCCACAAATATAATCAACCCTAAATAATTGAGAGTTGACTAGAAGACTAGAGTGGTGATACATTCTGAGTCCAGAAATGTCAATTAAGTGTTCCCCAATAGCTTCCCTTTTCTGCAGCAATCCCTTGAAAACAAATCTATACTTGAAAGGGTGGGGGCAGGATGAGGGAGAACCACCCCACAGATCTGTTAATTAAGGGAACCAGAGCAGGTTTTACCCAGTGGCTTTCTACCATTAAATTGAATTCTTTAAAAATGTGACATGAAGTGCAGTTAATGATGGGAATTCGGTGATTGAACCATAACGATCTCTCCCTGTCCTTAAACTGTGCAGGCACACACAAATGTGAGGACGGCTTCAGGTTATTGGGAAAATGTATACCTGAAGCAAAATGCCACCAGCACTCAAATTGGCATATAGCCTTGAGGATGATGGCAAGAAATAGAGTGTTAGAAATTACTGCACGTTCAATGAAAGAGAGCTTTATTCAGGAAACACACATTTCCTATCCTTACAGACTACTAAGAATTTAAATGCTGGAAACTTAGAAGTATGTTTGTGTTTTAGAATTTTGCATTTTAAACTAAAATATACTGAAGCAGAGGAAATGTGTCTTAGACTTGAGATAGGTTGGCTTTGTTATATTGTTTAAGTTTTATGTAAGCGTTTTAGAAACTGTCCCCTAAAATGAAATTAAAACGTGAAGATAGAGTAAAACTGAAACATGGAGGTTGAAGATGACTGAAAGTAAAGAAGAGGTTCAAAGTAAATCTAGACTTTTGGATACAAAATAGATCAAACAGCCCAAGTTACCTGGATTTTTTTTTTTTTAATGCAGTCCAGGCTTCCCAAATAAATATCAACTTTCTGCTTGTGGAGTTGTATAGATCCAGGTAATTTCTGAACAAATTTACCCGAAGTGGTAAAATAGATCCATTTGTACAAATGTTTTCAATTAAAAAAAAAAACAAGCATTCTTTTAAATTTGGAACATAAAATATGTTTACTCTCTCCATGTGTCATTTCAAAATTATATGGATTCTGAAAAATACAATGTTGTTTTTATATCCAGGCCCAAGTTTTATGATGTGTCTTTTATAGTATGGTTATTTTGGTGTCTATGTCAATAGACATTTATGAAATTACCTATTAATGGGAAATTTCACTGAAAATATATAGCTCTCACATTTCTTTCTATCATTCTTTTTTGTCCTTTGGGTTTTTTTTCTTTCTTTCTTTTTTGGATGTGATAGTGATTTTTAGGGTCCAATTTTATGGTGTTTTCAAAAATATTCTTTAAAGATAAACTACAGAGGCTGATTAACTGAATTTCTTTTTTGCATTGAAACATTATTTTCTATATATTTTAACTAGACAAATCCTGATTTTGCTTTTTATGATTTCATCTCTATTGGGTAACAAAGCTAGTTACTGTGATATTTGACTTACAATAGTGATAGCAAACAAAGCACATCCCAGATAATTTTGATTTTATTTTAATAAGGTCAGCAATAATCAGGGGAGTGGAACAAATAGAAAATTGTTCCCAAAGGGATATTAAAAGTGGAGATAATCTAATTCTCCAAGGTATGATATGTTGACCTGGTAATTTCAGATATGATTTTATCATTCAGAGTTTGGTGTCTCCTGAGACTTGCTTCAGAACAATCCGAGATGATTTTCATTGTCAGCAGCTAACACTAATAAAATTGTTTTTCCTGCAGGCTAGCGTGTTAGGAAATTAAATTTATCGAATTATACGAATTGCACTGTCGCTTTTCACATTGTAATTAAAATACATCTTGTCAGGTTCTACCTCTGTCCAGAAACTATTAGTTGACTATCTCTGTATTGTATTTTCTCAGAGAACGGTGCAGAAAAATGCAAAATATGTTTGCCTGGCAAATAAAAACTGCCCAGTAGACAAGAGACGTCGAAACCGTTGTCAGTATTGTCGATTTCAGAAGTGTCTCAGTGTCGGAATGGTTAAAGAAGGTATGGATATAATGCTTTTTACCCGGTTTGTTTATATGTGTTCTCAGAAGTCACTGAAAAAAAAAGTTAATATTTAGGTTGGGATACTGAATTTTCCCAGTTCATCTTTCCTTCAACATTTTATTTTTACAGCATATGTTTACATTTTAAAACTAACTGAGGACTATTTATTCTAATTTCTCAAAATTAATAGAGAGCTTGTATACATACATCTTTGTTCTATTTAAGAAGGAGAATTTTAGGGCTAATTCATTACCAAATGTAAATATGGGGTGGCTTTTATGTTGCTTATTTCAACTCTCATTAAATCATTGAGTGAATATTATTCCAAACTATTGTCACTTTTAAATAGTTGGTCTCACTAACGATTGCTCAACTGTAATGTGTTTTGATTCCTTTTCATGATTTATGGCTATTCATAACATAAACTTTGAAGATTGTTTTCTTTCTCTCTTTCGGCATCAGTTGTCCGTACAGACAGTCTGAAAGGGAGGAGAGGTCGCCTGCCTTCCAAACCAAAGAGCCCATTACAACAGGAACCTTCTCAGCCCTCTCCACCTTCTCCTCCGATTTGTATGATGAATGCCCTTGTACGAGCTTTAACAGACTCAACACCCAGAGATCTCGATTACTCCAGAGTAAGTTTTATGATTTCCTGCTTCTAAACGAATGATCAGTGTCTCTATTCATGATAGTAGTAATAAGAGTCGATGGAATGACTTTGTGCCTGGCACTGTGCTAGACAGTTTTCATACCTTTTCTATATTTCTCACTTCATTTAGCAATTCAGTGTGCATCCGTTGCTCCAGATAATTCTTGCCTTATTGAATCTCTAAATGCCTTAACAAATGACACTGACAGTGCTGCACCTGTCATACCCATTGTTGCAGGATTCCTGGTGGTTGTGCCAAAGAAAATCTGCACAGGTGAATGAACTACAGTTTGTAGATTTCTCTCATCATCTAGACAAATTGACTACTGCTTTTTTCTTATTATGATCAAACCATCTGGGTAAACCTCAACTTATCCTTAAGTGGTTTACCCAAAGCATTGGCATTGATTGATCTGCTGCTTATTCAGAGGGATTATACCATTATGCAGAGGGGTGAGCTCTGGCTTTGACATCGGGAGATGTCAGGAGGACTGCAATGGAAGGCCACCTCTGCTGCTTCCTGCCTATGTCTCCTGGCTCCTGCTCTTGACTTTCTCATTCCTGCAGTGGAGATGATTACAATATTTAACCTCAGAGGGTGTTTTGAACATCAGTCACACACGAGTGATGGTTGTGAAAATGTTTTGGAAACCATAAATGATTATTGGTGTTGTTAAGTCAACCAAAACATACCAATATTTTTACTTCAGATGGGATATAGTAAAATCTCATCAATTCAAACTCTGAAAATTCCTCCAAAATTTAGATAACACGGAGAAGATCCATGAAAAAGGATTTTCTGAGCAAATGTATAAACAATTCTGCAAGGCAGTTTTTTAAAGGACTTAGTAAAGCAAACTTCTAGGAAAATAGGGTCTCACCGAAGAGGGAAGGGATGGGAAAAGGATCACAATTATCGAGCAATTTCTACATGCTAGACATTGTGGTACATTGTCTCATTTAATCCTTTAAACCACCACAAACTTTAGGGATCTTCATCTCCACTCAAATACAAGTAAACTTAGACACAGAGCTTGCACACAGGTGAAGAGATGCCAGTCCAGGGGTCCCCAGTTGGTCGATCTGACTTGGCAGCTACCACCAGATTGCCTTCCCCAGGTCTAATCAGCATTTCAAGCTTCTGGTTGAATAGCTGGCAAAGTATGAGTGTGTCTCTGCCACGTGCCCTCCTTTTAGGTTGCAGCATTGACAGAAATGATTGGCGTGCCTGCTGTGATCCTCTCTCCCTCATCCCCAGCCTCATTATAGGCTGTGAAGCCTCCTCTTTGCACCTGATCACAAGACATCAAATGAGAAGCATGGTAGATCCTTAGCACCAAAGGTTGAGGACTCTTATTCTGATTACAAGTAGCATCTCTTGACTAAAGTCAAGTCTCAAATAATAGTATAATAGAATAATGCAGTGGTTAAGGGCTTAGGCTTTGGAATCATGCAGGCATAGATGAAAATCCCAATACCATCATTTATTAGTGGGGTGACCTTAAGCAACTGATTAAACCTTTTAATGCCTCAGTTTCCTCATCTGTGTTATGGGGTAATAATAATATATACTTCCTGGAGTTGTTTGTGAAGATTAAATATGATGATACTTGTCAACGCTTTAGCACAGTACCGACCAAACTTTCTTACTGTGCCATTTGTTGAGTGTACTAATGAGTATGAACACTACATGTGTCAAGTACCTGCAGCAACACCATTAAGATAAGTATTATGATCTCTATTTCATAGATGAGGATTAAAACTCATCTATGAGGCTAAAGGGCTGACTTGCCCAAGGTCACATAGTTAAATATGCATCAGGGATAGAATTAGGAGCCAAGTGTATTGGACTCAAAGTCTGTGCTCCTAAATACCAACCTTCACTGCCTCTCTGGTTTCAGTGAGAGAGGGTGCTAGAAAAGTATTCAGGAATGAAGATTTCTCCCTGAGGCACCCCTGGCCTCTCCTTATGTGATTTATCTGAATTAATGAAGCTTCTAGGCATTGCCTAGGCTAAGGCTTGAGCACACAATCTGACATGGTTCCAGGGCATTTGAAAGCACTATTGATGGCCAGTTCAGAGAATTTTAGGCCCCCAAAGTGATTTTTTTGGCCCCGAATTATCCAATTATCAGTCTACACAGCCTAATTAGTCATTCAATGGCAAACCCTCCCCAGCACTTTGAGTTGTCCCAGCTGGGAACTGTCTCCACACTGAAAAATCAATCCAGTGTGTTTGCTTGCCTCTGCACCATCCAGTCTGTTAGTCTAGAGTCATCGTCCTCATCAACAAACATTTATCCAATTTAATTGTTAGCTTTGTCCAAAATAGCAGATTGACCATGCCAGAGTCTGGGTCACATTGATACTACCTTTGGGGCCTGGCTCAATTTTGCAAAGCATATTTATTTTAATTGCATTGTTTTGGAATCAGGTTGAACCTCATAGCTTGGATTCTCCTGCTTTTAGATAGCTTTACAAAATTATCAAAAATTGGCCCCAAATCAACTAAATTAAAAGACTTCAAAAAAAATACAGTGATTTTTCATCAAAAACTTGGATGAAAGCATAGGAGCATGCTGATCACATTTGCAGATGACAGAAAGCTGGGAGGGATCGCTAATATGATGGATGTCAGTATCAACATTCAGAATGATCTCGACAGGTTGGAACAGGAAGGGCTGAAACCATCACGAAGAAAGTTAGCAAAAATAAATGTGAAGCTCAGCATTTAGAATTTTAAAAAATGGGAGAGCCTTGGCTTGTCAGTGGTTCATGTTAAGAAAATCTCAGGAGTTTGTTCCATACACATTCGATATGAACCAACAAAGTATATGTGTAGTGGAAGAAAGGGATGCAGAATTACCTTAGGCTGCAGTAGTAGAAGCATGGGACCAGGACCAAGATGGTGATGGCCCCATGGACTCTGTCCTGTCAGACCACACTTCAAGGATTGAGTCCACTTCCACGCTGGGATTTGAGAGGGATATGGATACACTGTTTCTGGAAAGTTGTAAGGGATGGTTCGAGGAAATAAAAATATGTAGACAAGAAGGAAGAAGATTTGGTAGGATTAGGTCACCCTTTTGTCCTGGGGCAAAAGAATTGTTACAACCATGGACAGATCTGGGGGAGAAAGAGGGGTGCCTCTTCCAGTTCACTCTGATGACAAGTCTTGGCCACACTACCTGCTGTGGAAGTGTGAGTCCATCAACACAAGAAGTAATTAAGGAGATCACGTAACAGGATTCCTCACAATGGGAAAGGTTATTTTGGATGACAGTAAATCCCTTCCAACTCTAAGATTTTATGATTCTGAGGTTTATCTTACTGTCCCTAAATGCAAGTGCTTATATACATATACATATAAGAATATATGTTATTAAGTAACTTGCTAGTTAACAAGATTAAACTTGCTTTGTTCTCTATCAAACATTAGCATATAAAATGAATGAAACAAAATGAATGTATTGAATGTCTACTTAAAGCCAGGTACCATCACATATATTCTTTTTTTGTTTCGTTTTGTTGATATATCATAGTTGTACATATTTTGGGGGCACATGTGATATTTTGATACATGTATACAGTGTGTAATGATTAAGTCAGGGTAATTAGCACACCTACCTCAAACATTTATCATTTCTCTGTGTTGGGAACATTACAATTCCCCTTTTCTAGCTATTCTGAAATATAAATTATTATTAATTATACTTTCCCTACTGTACTATCAAATACTAGAACTTAATCCTTCTAACTGTATTTTTGTACCCGTTAACCAACTTTTCTTCACCCTCCCCTCCCCTCTTTCCTTCCCAGCCTCTGGTAACCATCAGTCTATTCTCTGTCTTCATGAGGTCTACTTTCTTGGCTTTCAAATACGAGTGTGAATGTGCAATATTTGTCTTTCTCTGCCTAGCTGATTTCATTTGACATAATGACCATATATGTTGCTGCAAATGATAGGATTTCATTCTTTTTTATGGCTGAATAATAGTCCATTGTGTATATACCACATTTTCTTTATGCATTCAGCCATCGATGGATACTTAGGTTGAGTCCATATCTGGGCTATTGTGAATAGTGCTACAATAAGCATGGGAGTGCAGATATCACTTTGATATACTGATTTCCTTTCTTTTGTGTATATACCCAGGCATGGGACTGCTGGGTCATATGGTAGTTTTAGTTTTAGTTTTTTGAGACATCCACATAGTGGCTGTACTACTTTACATTCCCACCAACAGTGTACAAGGGTTCCCCTTTCTCTGCATCCTTGCCAGCATTTGTTTTGTGGTTTGTTTCTTTTTCTTTTTTTTTTTTTTTGTCTTTTTGATAATAGCCATTCTAACTGAATTGAGATGATACCTCATTGTGATTTGGATTTTCATTTCCCTGATGATTAGTAATGTTGTGTATTTTTAAATATACCTGTTGGCCATTTGTATGTCTTCTTTAGAGAAATGTCTATTTAGGTCTTTTGCCCATTTTTAAAATGGATTATTTGGATTTTTGCTATTGAGTTGAGGTCCTTATATATTAATCCCTTGTTGGATGGATATTTTGCAAATATTTTCTCCCATTCTGTAGGTTGTCTCTTCACTTTGTTTCCTTTGCAGAGCATCAAATATATTCTTACATAATTTCACTTAAGTCTCCAGCTTTGTGTGGTATAATTTATGGTTTGAGTAATTTTTTAAGACTGTCATTTGTTAAAATTCAATTTTCATAATACCTACCCCCTTAAAGTTGTATATTTACAAATTCATAGAACTGGAGGTGACCGTGGGATCATCTAATCCAACCCCCATATTTTCAGAGGAGTAAATTAAGGTTTAAAGGGGTTAACTGGCTTGCCTAAGGTCAGTGGCAGAGCTAGGACAAGATCCAAATCTCATCACTCAAGGTAATATATTTCTATTTCATCATATTGCCACTTTTATTTAATGGCAATGTACTAGATTATTTTTTTAAATAGAAGCTTTA